GGGTTTTGCTTTTTGTTTTTCCTATTCTTCTGCCTCCCTTTCGCTGTCCCCAAAGAGGAGCCGTTGTAGCCGAATGGAGGGAATGAGAGTGTAGTCAGGGGTTTTATTATTCTGGTATAGTCTCACCTGCAGACACTTGCTTCTCATATGAGGACCATGAGAGGTGACTTTCAGGGGGAACATGGCAGAAATGTTTTTATGTTGGAGGTTGTTTAAGATCCGCTAAGATCTGAGGAGCATCCGTGCTTTTTATTTGTAGGATATTCTCTAAGTAGGTTTAAGTACCACCTGCCCCTTTCTCAAGTTCCGACTGAATATTTTTATCTTATGAATGATTAGACTCTAACTTAAATATGTCCTTGTACACATAGGAAAAGTAATACATGACAAAAGGACTGCAAAGGCGTGATTTTAAAGTTACTAGTTAAAGCAGGTGTACGCAGCTGTCCCTGTTTGTAGACGAATTCAATATTTATAAACTGGGTGGCATTCAGAAGGAGCTAAGGATCTCATTGGTTAAGGTCATCTGGCTCGAATCCTTTGGCGATGTAAAGAATTGTGCTGTGTCTTGGCAGTTAGGGCACAGATATTACTGAGTCCGTTCAGGTTTATTGAAAGGATGAGAGAGCCTGCCAGGGACTGGGGAGTTCAGGAGGGCGACGCTCATTCACGGCTTAGCCGCTGCCTTGCTGGGGCAGCCGAGTGAGGACGGCATTCCGGGCTGGTCCCAGATCCTCCAGGTGCTGGGAGATGAGCCAGAGCTGGGATAGCCCATGCTTCCAGTCGTTTCCCAGATCGGACTCAGGTCTGAGGGAGCAAACACCTCGTTGGGGGCGCCCTCCCGGTGCAGACGGATCCCAGCCCCAGTGGGAGCAGCGGCTCTCGCTGGCAGCTGTCCCTCCCGGTGAAGGGTTCTTGATGCATGTGCGGGCCCCTGGAAACTCCTCTGTGCGTCCTGGATGCCCGGGCGGGGGTTTTGCTGACATTGCTGGGGGCCAGCAGGTCCCGTCCTAGTGGGACGAACCCGCGGAGGCGGAGGCCGCATCCATGGGAGCTGAGCTTTGGCTGGAACCGGTGGTGGAGGTCAGTCAGCTGTGAGGCTGGCTGCACTTCTCACGCCCACCCTCAGGTGGCGATAGAGGAAGTAGAAACAGCAGTGCAATTTCTAGGAGATCACGGAAGGGATCAGAGGCCTGGGAAGGACATAACTTGGACAAACAGTCTGAAGCCAGTTTTCAACCTTTGCCATCTCCCGGCACGTAACCTAATTATTAACATTCCGCGGCACGCAAACAAAAAGCAGGTGTGTGTTGCTGCATGCACACGAGACGGCTGTTGTGGTGGCCGTTGCTATTTCTCTACCTGAGAGGCCGGTGCCCCCGGCTAGCAGTCAGGGGGGGCGTGTGTCACACACTCCGGCGGCACACGGCTGACAATGCTGATCTGACAGAAGGCCTGGCTCTCTCGGGAGGCCGTAGGCCAGCACGACACCAGCTTGATTGTCACAGTCCCCGCCTCCTGCCTCAGCCAGGCAGTCCGTGCCTGGAGGTCCACAGGAGCTCCCTGGAGCCAGGCGTGCGGCTTCTTGTGGCTGCGAGTTTCTCACTTCCTCGATGTGTGGGAATTCCCGTGCGCGTTGATGGAAACGCATTCACCTTAGAGCAGTGGTTCTCAACCTTGGCTGCACATTAGAATCACCTGGGAATCTTTTTAAAATCCTGATTTCTGGGCCTCATCCTCCGGAAATTCTGTTTTTTTGTTACTCGTGTTGTGGCCCCACCCCATAACAAAGAAACAGAATTTCCGGAGAATGAGGCCCAGAAATGAGGATTTTAAAAAGATTCCCAGGTAATGCTAATGTGCAGCCAAGGTTGAGAATCATTTTATTAAGGGTTGTTTTTGCGGCGGGCAGCAGAGACACATGCGTGTCGACACCTGGTCTGTGATGTCCCAGGTGTGTATGAGTTCAACACCAGGTGCATCTCAAAAGCAGAGGCTACTCTGGAGATTTCCTGGGGAGACGCAGTGTGCAACGCGCTTCTCAGCGTGGGTTTCTGTCGGTATCCGCGTAGTCCGGCGACCCACCTCCGCTCGCACTCTCCCCGCCCCCGTCTGGTTGAAGATGGGCTGACATGCAGAGCAAGTCCCTGTCCTGGGAGTGCCCTCCCATCCAATGCACTCATGTGCCAAACATGAGGAAGCAGCAAGTGGGAAAAGTGGAGGCGCCTGAGGACAGGAGGGTGGGTGTGGCTGGAGCAGCCCAGTGGGGGGAGGCGGGAGAGAAGGTCAGAGGTGTCCAGGTCCCCTGGGAAGCCCGGGGAGGGTTTTACGTAGGTCAGTCGTGCGCTCCGATGGACGTTTTTGTGCAGATTAGGGAGCAGGTTGTGGGGAAATCGTGGGGGCAGTTCTGGAAGCAGGAGGCCAGCCAGCAGGCCTCGCGGGGTTCCAAATGAGAGGAGACCGGGGAAGCATGTACTCCGAAGTTCAAACAGCTCACAGCACCTGAGTGGCGTCGTCTCGCCCTTACCGAGTTAGAAATATCAAATGATTTAGCAGACCGTCTTAGGACCAAATGGAAAAACCCGGCCCTCCGTGGGAAGATAGCCTTTGTTTGCCAAGCTCAGGCCCCAGAGAGGACCCCTGCTGGCCTCTCGCTGCAGGTGGCGGGATGTCCTGTGGGCCCCCTACGCGCCATCCTGTGAAGGGCTGACCCCGCTGATGTCCCTCAGCCCCGGTGTCCTGCACACAGTTGCCAGCCCCACCCCCTGACGTCTCTCTCATCACCTCCAACTTCATTCTTCGGTTCTTTGCTCACATCGCCCTCTCCTGGGAGGCGGCCCTCAGTCCTGTGGAGGGAGTGCCTGTTCTCTGTGCTGGTAGCGTGTCCCCCAAATGTAAAAGTCCTGCGCTGGAACTGTTGGTCTGTCTCCTGCTGGGCTGCCTATGATTGCCAGGGAGAAGAATTTTTTGGTCATAGAGTATAAAAACAGCCACCCCATGTCCCTGTGAGTAAAAAAGAAAAAAAAAAAAAGGTAAGATTCTGGGCAATTAAATATTTAGGAAATATGTTTTCTTTTACACTTCTCAGTTCCCAGGTGCAGAGCTTTGAAGGAAATGGATTTAATTAAAAATTCGGAGTCAGACTGTTACTGCTACCATCAAAAAACCCAAATCGAGTGGAAATACATATGGTCAACTGTGCAGGTAAGAGCGTACCTTTAAATCTTATCTTACCACGGGGAATTTGTTTATTTTTCTTTGATTTTTGAATCAAGCTCCTTAAAAAGGATCATGGCTTTATTTTTATTTTTTAAGATGAAAATAATAGGTATTTTATTCATTTTTTAAAATGTGTCGTTATTGTTGAAAGTATCCCAGATGCCCCCTGCCCCGGCCCGTTGCTGTGGATGTGTTTGATGTTTATTTTGATGCTCACAGCGCCCCCGACTGGGCAGTGCGACCACCGCGTGCTTCCGCAGCAGGGCTGGTGGCACAGATGCAGGAACAGAATAGGTGGGGGTGGGCTTTGCCGGCAGGTGTGAAAACAAAGGCGGTACCTGCAAGGGAGTGATTCCTCATGACGCGCCTTGGGATTCAGCTGGACGAGCAGGGTGGAGATGCCAGGTGCATGGGGGGTCCAAGGCTTGCCGGGTGCAGCGCCGACGGGCATGCTGGGAAGACAGCAGGTGGTCAGCCAGGCGGTGCATGGAATTCGGCCTGTGTGAGGGGCTTCTGTTCGGGGCTGACAGGGTCCAGGGTGTGGCCGTGGGAGTGATTCGTGGAGGTGGGTGGGGGACAAGACCATCAGAGGAGCTCAGAGAACTCCTGGGAGGCCAGCATATAGGGGTTCGGGGAGTGCACTGTGTCTGGTGAGTCCCCGAGACGCGTGGCTGCAGGTGGCACTGGGGAGAGCGCAGCCGTGGGCCCGGGGCGAAGTCCACGAGGAGGGGGAGGCAGGCAGTGGGTGATACCCCCCGATGCCCGAGGCTCGGAGCTGGTGGCCACGCCCCCCTTCGGGCTCGCCCCAGTCCCGGGCAGGGAGGAGAAACAGAGGGACAGACAAGGCAGCAGCCAGGCTGCCGTTCAATAATGCGTGGCTGTAGCTGGTGCTGTGCTGTGAGCCGTGGGCAGGCCCTGAGGCTGGGCTCTGCCCTCAGGAGGTGGTGGTGGGAGACGCCGGGGCTACGTCTGAGCTGATCCAGGGGGAGCACTTCTCAGTCACGGAGAAAATGGCAGAGATAACCCCCCTTCTCGTGGGTTTATAACAGTTGGCCACCTGTTCCTCTGTCTCGTCTTTGCTTACGTCTCCGTTGGCCCCAGGAACACGCTAGAACAGTGGTTCTCAACCTCGGCTACACATGAGAATCACCTGGGAATCTTGTTAAAATCCTGATTCTGGCCTCATCCTCCGAAGTTCTGTTTCTTTGTACGAATGTGTGGCTCACCCCATACAAGAACAGATTTCGGAGATGAGGCCCAGAATCAGGATTTCCCACCACCTCCCGATTAAACCAGGAGAAAAAGCGGGTGTTGTTTTGGTAACTAGGAAGAACAGGGGGGTCCCCGACGCCTCCGTTTCTGGAAAGTCAGGTTTTCATTCGTCACATACGTTTGAGGACGTCTCAGCTTTCGTGGCCGGATACATCAAAGACAAACATCGAAAGAGCCACATTTTATAGAAACCTTTTTCATCCAAGTTAGATGTGGTCAGAGCCTCTGTAGCCAAAAGGGGCCAATCGTATTTGCTCTTTGGAACATGAGGGTAGACTACGAAGAAGGGAGTCGTATGAGAAAGGGGATCAGATGAGATCAAACAATGAACTGAATCGCTCAACTATGGGAACAAGATAAAAAACGGTTGTTATACAACGCTACTTCGTTGCAATAGAAACCTAAAT